CATACCTGCGGCAGTTGCCTGCTTCCTCAAAGAAGGTGCTTGTTCTCTACCATGGGCCGCTCTAGCCATTCAGAGTCTCCTTGGACATGTCGGCTTGCCCACTGTTGGGGGACAGCTAGGCAATGATGCTTTCCATGGTGGGCTATCGCATCTCCAACTTGTGGCCCCCTTCCTGCCTTCCTCAGTGTCCATTGAAGAGACCTCCCATGCCGCACTTACACAGGCTGCCAGACACAAGCTCGAGCTTGTCATTGCCTCTTTCAATACTCTCACTCTCGGGGCTAGCCTAGAGGATCCAGCGGGTCGTGGTGTTGGGGACCCGGGGCTGCAATACCGACCGGGCAGAGCTGCACTTCTAGCGCGCCAGTTCACAGATGCAGGAGTAGCCATTGCCGCACTTCAAGAGACTCGCTGCCCAGAAGGCCTGTCCAAAGTCGGCCCCTACATCAGACTCAGTGCTGGTGCTAATAGAGGACAATACGGGACGGAACTCTGGTTGCATTCTGAGCTCCCCGTCTTGCAAGCTCAAGGCACGCCAAAAGCCCCCATTTTCTTCAATGAGCAATATACGGTTGTCGTGCATGCCGACCCAAGACGTATCCTAGCCAGAGTTCGTCTTGGAGCCTGCCGATTACTCATCGCTTCCCTGCATGCCCCACACAGAGGGTGCGAGCAGCACATCATTTCAGATTGGTGGCAGCAGACTCGCCAACTCGTCCATAAGCATGGCCAGCTCTCCCAGGTCATCCTAGCCGGGGATGTCAATGCCTCGGTTGGTAGCGTCACGTCGGCACAGATTGAAGGGGTAGGACAGGAAACTCAAGATGATCCTGGCCAGCACTGGCATTGTCTTCTGAAAGAGATGGATTGCTTCCTTCCCTGCACGATGAGCGCCCATCAGATAGGGGATACTACGACTTATGTTCAAAAGCGAAACAAGCAAGGTTGCAGGCCCGATATGATAGGGATCCCGGCCTGCTGGAGAGCAGGGCTTGTCAGTGCCTGGGTAGACCCTTCCTTCCACGTTGCCCTTGCTGTGCAGGACCACAACGCCACCCTTGTTAAGGTCCAGCTTGATCTTGCTATGCCGGCCAAAGCAGCACAGACTAGACGCAAGGCAATTCCTCCGCGGCTTTTTACCGATCCATGCTTTGCTGAGGAGGTGCGTGCATGCATTGCCTCTGCCCCGTCGGTGCCGTGGGCTCTCTCGTCCCATGCCCACGCTGCGGTTTTTGTTAATCACCTTCAAGTAGGTCTTGCTGCTATTGCTTGCAAAGCAGGCCCTCGCCCATATCACCCCTACATTACCGAGGACACCTGGCATCTTCAACGACAGGTCACCAAGTGGCGACGTTCATTGCAACGCCTCAAAGCGCATAAGCTTAATCAATACAAGGCGATTTGCTTAGTCGCGTGGTTTGCCCTTGTAAAAGGACAGCACCCCGCAAGCTCCGCACCTTCGGACCTCTGCGCCAGTCCTATCCTGTGCAGCTGGTTGACCAGAGCTCACCTCTCTGAACTGGTGCATCTTTACAGGATTTCTGTCGACAGCCGGCAACTGCGCAAAGCCTGCCGCGACGATAGAGACCGGTACATTGCAGACTTAGCATTGCAGGTTGCCCACAATCCCAGCTCAGAAGTACATGGAGCACTTCATCGTCTGCTGTGTCACAAGCGGAAGAAGCCCTATGCTCCAGAGCCTTTACCGAGGCTCTTGGACTCGCAAGGACGGCCGTGCGAGGATGAGGTTGCTGTACAGGAGCGCTGGCGCCAACACTTCGGTGACATGGAAGGCGGAGTCGCTATGGCTCCAGCTGATCTACCCTATGCCCTTCTGACCAAAGAAGCCCAATCAAGCTCCTGGCTTCCTCCCTTGGATGTTTGCGAGCTACCCAGCCTGTCTGATCTCCAACAAGTCATGCAGAAAACTAAAGCAGGAAAGGCGCCAGGACCTGACGGCATTCCGGGTACGCTCCTGAAAGGCTTTGCGCCTGAGCTTGCCCCAGCACTTTATCCGCTGCTTCTTAAACTGCTCTTGCGGGGATCTGAACCGATTGGACTCAAAGGAGGATCAGCGGTGAAGTTTTGGAAGGGTAAAGGAGATAAGGATGCAGCTGCTTCGTACCGCCAGATTTTACTGGCTTCGAATTTGGCCAAGTGTTTTCATCAGGCCATTCGTCCAGCAATCCGGGAGCTCTTTGTTAGGAGCGCCCCTGCTCTCCAGATCGGGGGCAGACCAGGAGGCAATGTCATCTTCGGTGCCCACATCACCCGTAGCTTCTTGCGCTGGCAGGCCTCGGTCCGTAGATCCTGTTTTGTACTCTTCACGGATATTGCTTCAGCGTTTTATTCCGTGGTGAGACAGCTCGTTGCCACTGACGGCACCACTGCTGAGGGCGATCTGGGTGTTGCGGGCATTGATCTTCCACCGGAAGACTTGGAGAAGTTAGCCCAGCATGCTGAACTACCGTCAGCTCTCTCCACTGCTGGAGCTTCAGCTTGGTTGGAGCGGATAGCATGCAAGATCACGGAGGCCACGTGGTTCGTAATGCAACAGGATACGCAGCCTGTTGTTACTTCGCGAGGAACCCGCCCAGGCTCCTCCTGGGCAGATCTTCTCTTCTCCTTTGTTGTGAAGAAAATATTGGCTCGACGCGATGAGCTCCTGACAGCTGCCCACTGCCCATCTAGTGACGCCCTTATCCCAGGCGACAGCACCCGCACACTCCAGCCATGCAATGATACAGGACCTACTTCTAGATTAGGAGATTTAATATGGGCCGATGACATTGCAACGATGCGCGTGGTCGATTCGGCTCATGATCTGACCCTAGGAGCCAAGCTTACAGCAGGAGCCTGCTGTGACTCTTTCGCAGAACACGGGTTTAAGCTGTCTTTCGGCAGGAACAAGACCGCCTTGCTTGCCCAACCTGCCGGCTCCGGGGCCAAAAAGGTTAAGAGCCTACTCTTTGGGCCCAGAGGTCTCAAAGGTCAGGTCAGTGTGCTTCGGGAAAACTCGGGCGCCGCTACGATTCCGCTCGTCCCAGACTACCGGCATCTAGGAGCACAGATTGCGGTTCGAGGCAAAATGAAGCAGGAGGTCCTCTACAGGATTGCTCAGGCGAGGGCGGCCTTCCACGAAGGGCGGCGCAAGGTATATAAGGCACCAGGGATTCCTGTGCTCAGGAAGGCCTATATACTGCAGTCCAGCGTCCTGCCAAAGCTCACTTTCGGAGCAGGCTCTTGGCCTCCTTTAGGGTCATGCGAACAGCAGCTCTTTAACGGAGCCCTATGGTCCTTTTACCGCCAAATTCTCTGCATCCCGTATCATGAAGATCAGCATTATTCCACAGACACTGTGCTTGCTTTGGTGCAACTTCCGGGGCCTTGTGCCCTGCTGCACATACAGCGTCTGCTGTATCTGGGGCAGCTGATCCGAAATGCCCCCAACGAGCTTTGGACACTTGTTAAATTGGACAGGCCGTACGCCGATTTACAGCTTTCCTCAGCCCGATGGTTGTTTCGTTGGGTGCACGCGACCAGCCCTATGCCCGATCCAGACTGCTCCTGGTCCGAGTGGCAGGGCCTGCTCATCGGTTCTCCTAACCGCTTTAAGGGGTGGGTCAGGCGTGCGAGGGGTTTAGAAATCAAGCGTAGTCAAGTCATTGCTGCGCTAGATGGGCTGTACCGCACCATCAGGCGTTTGACAGGTGGTACCCCACAACAGACCGAAGACAGCTGGCCCGAAGTTTGCATACCGTGTGCTAAACTGTTCAAGTCTAGAGTAGCATGGTCTTGTCATGCGCAGAAAGTGCATGGGTATAGGACTCAGGCACACAGTCTTTGTCAAACTACCTATAAGCCTTTCTGCTCTGGCTGCGGTAAGGTCTATGCCTCCCTGGGGCGACTTCAAAGACACCTCGCATATAGCTGGGGCTGTATGCAGGAGTGGGAGACCTTCCAGACCAGTGAACCTGTAGTCCCCACCCTGCACCCTCAAGCGCCACCGGAGCAGCTGCAAGGCAATAAACGGCCAAGTGCGCCCCGATTTTCAGACCCACTCACCTCCCAGACCCTTCTTGCCGCCATGCTTGATTGTGGTTCAACTGAGGAGTCAGACGTCTGGGCTGTTGTCAGCGCGCATATCGCTCCTGTTGCAGTCTTGCGCAGCACGGTCCTGCTTTGGAGAGACACCCTCAACACTGCTGACGCCATCGATACGGCCGATAACCTGATTCTTCTGCTCGATCCGGAATTGCTGGGCGACGTCTATGTTGACAGACGGCCCAGCATCCCAAATTTGCCTGATTTAGCAGTTGAGTGGCCGGATCTGCCCCAGTGTTCCCTCACTGTCCAAGGTGCTTTTCCCTCCTTGACTTTGCAAGCACCGCCTCCAGCTTTCTTGCCGCTTTCTACGCAGCACAGTATAACTTTGCGCGCGGCAACTGCGTATGCCTGTTGGCTTCAGCAAGCTTGCGACTGTATTATACGTTGCATAGCAGGGGGAGCCCCGGCAGCACCAGTGATTTTGTGTAGGAACATTGAGCAAGGGCTAGGTCCAGCTTCCGGCTGGCTGCGTACTGTTGGAGCGACCTTCAGTCCGGCCGGACTTACCTTTGCCCCTGGCTGACTCCGCTCAGCTCGTTTCACCTAGAATTCAAATGCTAGGCGAGCGTCGGACGCGACTCCAACGCAGAGAATGAAAAATGAGTTCTCTAAATCAGGGTCCCTTTTTTTTTTATGAGGGTGCCGTGCGATGTTGGGGGACCCAAAGAGGGACCCTGATTTCTAGAACTACTCATATAGGTTTGTGGACAATTACCACCTTCTTTTGGGACCTATCATAATCATACTGCGGGGTTCTAGGGTTCAGGGTGGACGCCCTAACTGTTGCACATACTTTCTTGTGCTGCTTCTCAAGCATGAACCCTAAGCTCCAAACTTTAACTAAAGCCTGAACAGCTTCTGGAAGCAGTCCCGGACTTTTTTTGCCACTGCAGGCCCGTCTACAGCATGAAGGGTTTCGACAGCTCTTCCACCCTCTACTTGCATCTCGCACGATTTGCGGCTTTTCTTGGGGCAGTTGCGAGCTACACGGGATGCGTTACTATTGATCTTCTTCTGATTGCTATTGCCATGATGAAGGTCGCTCTGAGTGTCCTTCTTCTGGCCTTCGTTAGTCATCAGTATAGCTTAGCAGATAATTTTCCAGCTCATTAGTCAGTATTTTAGGGTTTAGGGTTTAGGGTATTATGCACATTCCACCCTTTTTAGTCGCTTTTCCGGCCGCAAAGCGGACGCCACGCAAGGGGACTTAGCCCAGGCACTGGTCTGAAGAGAACGTGGAGGTGGCGGCCGGATGCGGCAAAGGCGATCGGCTCCTTGCGCTTCCGAAAGGGGGGGGGGAAAGGGGGGCGGGGAAGGGGCGGAGGGGGAGTAGGGTTCAGGCGTTAGGTTTTGTTTGGCTTTTGTAGGGTGTGTTTGATGGGTTTGAGAACTGAGTCTTCAGGAAATTATGATATTTTGGGGTTTTGGGGATTGGGGGTTTTGGGGGAGTTTTGGTGATTTCTATAGGGTTTTGCAGCTTTAGGTTGTGCCTGCACGCCTGCACGTCCCTTTTTTTGGTTTCTGGCTTCAGGGGTTAGGCGTCCTAGGGTTTGCTTCAGCTTTCACTTCACTTATAGTAATCCTTCTGGTTCCTTGTGCTTGCTCGGGGCTTTAGGTTACAAACCTGCCTCGCTACAAAGGGTCCTGCCATGCTGCGCCCTGAGCCCGAATCCCTAAACCCGAAATGCGGAATCCTACGCCCCAAACCGTGAACCCTGGAGCCCTAGAGCCCCCCTAAACCCTAAACCCTAAACCCCTAAACCCTGGAGCCCTGGAGCCCCAAACCCTAAACCCTAGAGCACCCTCGAGCCCTAGGCCCTAAACCCTAAGCCCTGGAGCCCCAAACCCTAGAGCCCCAAGGCCCGAAGCCGTCATGCCCTGAGCCTCACCTCGAAGGGTTCTGCTCCTTAGGCCTCCGACTGTAGGGGCCTTAATAGTTGGACGAGGGTTTAGGGTTTAGGGTTTAGGCTTTAGGGGTTAACTATACTCTTTTTATAAGAAGGAACCCGTAAAATAGTTTAGGTAATTAGTAAGGCCCCTATATGTAGGGGTCTTAATAATTTGAACAGAGTTTTGGGGGCTAGGTTCAGGGTCTTTAACTCCTGATAAAGTTTAGGGTCTAAGTCCTAAACAAGTTTAGAGTCTAATTCCTAATTAAGTTTAGGGTCTAACTCCTGCTTAAGTTTTGGGTCTAACTCCTGATTAAGTTTAGGGTCTAACTCCTAATCAAGTTTGGGGTCCAACTCCTAATTACGTTTAGGGTCTAACTCCCAGTTGAATTTAGGGTCTAACTCCTTAGGGTCTTTAACTCCTCAGAAATTTTGGGGTCTACCTCCCAATTAAGTTTAGGGTCTAACTCCTAATCAAGTTTTGGGTCTAGTTCCTAAAAAAAGTTTAGGGTCTAACACCTAATTAAGTTTAGGGTCTAACTCCTAATTAAGTTTAGGGTCTAACTCCTAAGTAAGTTTAGGGTCTTTCTCCTGATTAAGTTTAGGGTCTAACTCCTAGTTAAGTTGGGTCTAACTCCTAATTAAGTTTTGGGTCTAACTCCTGATTAAGTTTAGGGTCTAACTCCTAATTAAGTTTTGGGTTTAACTCCTGATTAAGTTTAGGGTCTAACTCCTAATTAAGTTTGGGGTTTAACTCCTAATTAAGTTTAGGGTCTAGCTCCTAATTAAGTTTAGGGTCTAACTCCCAATTAAGTTTAGGGTCTCACTCCTAATTAAGTATAGGGTCTAACTCCCAGTTAAGTTTAGGGTCTAACTCCCAATTAAGTTTAGGGTCTAACTCCTAATTAAGTTTAGGGTCTTGAACTCCTAAGAAAGTTTAGGGTCAAACTCCTAATAAAGTTTAGGGTCTAACTCCTAATTTAATTCAGGGTCTAGCTCCTAATTAAGTTTAGGGTCTAACTTCTAATTAAGTTTAGTGCCTAATTCTCAATTAAGTTTAGGGTCTAACTCCTAACTAAGTTTAGGGTCTAACTGCCAATTAAGTTTAGGGTCTAACTCCTAATTAAAATTAGGGTCTAACTCCTAATTAAGTTTAGGGTCTAACTCCCAGTTAAGTTTAGGGTCTAACTCCTAATTAAAATTAGGGTCTAACTCCTAATTAAGTTTAGGGTCTAACTCCCAGTTAAGTTTAGGGTCTAGCTCCCAATTTAAGGTTAGGGTCTAACTCCTAATTAAGTTTAGGGTCTAACTCCTAAATAAAGTTTTGGGTCAGGGTCTAACTCCTAATTAAGTTTAGGGTCTAACTCCTAATTAAGTTTAGGGTCTAACTCCTAGTTAAGTTTAGGGTTTAACTCCTGGTTAAGTCTAACTCCTGATTAAGTCTAGGGTCTAACTCCTGATTAAGTTTGGGGTCTAACTCCTAATTAAGTTTAGGGTCTAGCTCCTAATTAAGTTTAGGGTCTAACTCCCAATTAAGTTTAGGGTCTAACTCCTAGTTAAGTTTAGGGTTTAACTCCTGGTTAAGTTTTGGGTCTAACTCCTGATTAAGTTTAGGGTCTAACTCGGGGTCTAACTCCTAATTCAGTTTAGGGTCTAACTCCCAGTTAAGTTTAGGGTCTAACTCCCAATTAAGTTTAGGCTCTACCTCCTAATTAAGTTTAGGGTCCTGCTTAAGTTTGGGGTCTAACCCCTGAGTAAGTTTGGGGTCTAACTCCTAATTACGTTTAGGGTCTAACTCCTATCTAAATTTGTTTAGGGTCTAACTCCCAATTAAGTTTTAGGGTCTAGCTCCTAATTAAGTTTAGGGTTTAATTCCTAAAAAAGTTTAGGCTAACACCTAATTAAGTTTAGGGCCTGGGTCTAGCTCCTTTTAAGTTTAGGGTCTAACTCCTAATTAAGTTTAGGGTCTAACTCCCAGTTAAGTCTAGGGTCTAACTCCTAATTAAGTTTAGGGTCTAACTCCTAATTAAGTTTAGGGTCTAACTCCTAGTTAAGTTTAGGGTTTAATTCCTAATTACGTTTAGGGTCTAATTCCTAATAAAGTTTTGGGTCTAATTCCTAAATAAGTGTAGGGTCTAGCTCCTAATAAAGTTTTGGGTCTAATTCCTAAATAAGTTTAGGGTCTAATTCCTAATTAAGTTTAGGGTCTACCTCCCAATTAAGTTTAGGGTCTAACTCCTAGTTAAGTTTAGGGTCTAACTCCTGCTTAAGTTTGGGGTCTAACTCCTGCTTAAGTTTGGGGTCTAACTCCTAATTAAGTTTAGGGTCTAACTCCTAGTTCAGTTTAGGGTCTAACTCCCAATTAAGTTTAGGGTCTACCTCCTGATTAAGTTTAGGGTCTAACTCCTAATTAAGTTTAGGGTCTAGCTCCTAATTAAGTTTAGGGTCTAACTCCTAATTAAGTTTAGGGTCTAACTCCCAATTAAGTTTAGGGTCTAACTCCCAATATTGTTTAGCGTCTAGCTCCTGATTAAGTTTAGGGTCTAACTCCCAATGAAGTTGAGGGTCTAACTCCCAATTAAGTTTAGGGTCTAACTCCTGATCAAGCCTTAAACTCCTCAATCCATGGCTGCATCCTAAGCCGATGGGCTGCAGCCAAGGTTCGTGATCCGCAGAGCCTCCGAGGATGACTACCTTGGCCAAGACCTGGAAGGAAGGCCAACCGTCTCAGACAGCAGGGTTACTTGTTTGGGGTTCTTATAGGGGTTTTCATTCTTTTTTTGGGGGGCTTTGGGATTACAGGCCTACGGGTTTAGTTGTTTTTTTACATAGGTTTAGGGTGCAGGGTTTAGTAATAAATTAGGGCTCCAGGGTTTTTTTGAGTCTTTGGGGTTCGTAGGGTTACTAGGATTAAGGTCTTTGAGGGGTTTTTGGGAGTGTCGGGTTGCTTTGGGTGTCTTCTATCTTTTTTTTGGTGTGTCAAGGTGTTAAGGTTCTTTCAAGGTTTTAAACACGGTTTTGGGCTTCTTTCGGGCTCTGCTCAACTCTAAACCCTGAGCCAAGAGCCCTGAACCCTAAACCCTAAACTCCAATCCCTTAACCCCAAACCCAAAACTCCGAAGAAGAACCCTAAACCCTGAACCCTCGATTTTGCGCGCCGAGGTCCAGTGTCGAGCTGCGCGGCGAGAAGCTCTGGTGCTTCTCGGGGGACGTGCTCTTTGAGGCCGACTGTAACACTACGATACTATAACGGTTGCTATAACGGTGTTTAAGGTTTAGGGTTTTGATTATCAGAGCCTTTGTTCAAAAAGCGGGTTTAGGTTTAGGGTTTAGGGTTTAAGGGGGTTGTACAAGGGTTTCTAATTATACGGGTTGCTAGAAGGCTTCCATAAAAGTATTTGGGCATGGTTACTACAAGGGGCCTTGGGACAAGGGCTCACGATATGGGGCTCTGAATAACTAGCAATAGCACAACCGTCATCCCTACAGAACTATGCTGTAGTATACTTCGTATACCACCAAGGTCTATTCTGTCACTGAAGGCCCCTGCATTATCTGATGGATCGCATCTTTCATCGGTCAGTGACAGCCGTTTTCATGAGAAGCACGCCTGACATATGCCTAGTGGGGGTAGCCTACTTACCATCTGTGTCTTGAGGTTTTGTCCTGACTCCAGAACTCGATTTTCAGCTGGAAGCCATGGGTCCTAAGATTCTTGACATCATTGGGCAGGCCTTCGATGGAGACGGGGCGGTGACCGGCCAGTCCGTCGACGGCGCCAACGCGACGGTGGCGGTGATTGACTTAGAAAAAGTTTGATTTTTGATGTTTTGAAGCTTTTTCGGTAAATCTCACAGAGAAACGAGGGTTAACAACTCATAGATCTCCACCGGGTCCAATAGCAAATCGGATCCCGAGACCCTAACCCCTTGGACTCCTCCGCCCAAAACCCCGAAACCCTCCCAACCAAGAAGAACAAACACATCAAAACGACAAGCATCAAGAACGCAGTCACACACACTAGAAAGCCATGCAACGGAGGAGAAACAGTAAACCACTGTCGAGAAGCACTCTACATACCTTAAACCCAAGGCACAAAACCCTAAACTTGCCCTAAAACCCAACACCAACACCCTAAGCCCTAAACCCTAAACCCTAAACCCCTAAACCCCTAAACCCCTCAATCCTAAACCATAAATCATAGACCATTCAGAAAGAAAACACAAAAAACAGTAAGGTGACAGTGCAGCCCTGGGTCTTCGAATGCAAGTCACCGCTCCAGGAGCTAAGCACACACACATGCCGCTGCGGGGTTTTGGGTTAGGGTTGAAGGTTTAGGGTTTAGGGTTTAGGGGTTGAGGTTTAGGAATTAGAGTTTAAGGTTTGGGGTTTGGGGTTTAGGGTTTGGGGTTTCGGGTTTAGGGTCAAGCACTAGAGCCTGAACTCTATGTGTGGGTTTCGGTCTTTCGATGTTATTTTCGTTGCCTAACCAATATTGAGTTTTGAACATTTCCAAGAAAAAGGACCCTTATAATCGCCCTTATAGTAACCCTTTAAAGGAAGTACTAAGGCGATAAACCCTAAACCCGTAAAGTGATACTATAAGCCCTAAACCCTAAACCCTAAACCCTAAACCCTAAACCCTAAACCCTACAGCCCAAAGTCCCAGGAGCGCGCGGAGTTCCGGGCCGCCCAGGGCCTTCCTGAGCAGCTGCTGGGTTCGAAGTCGTGGACCCTTAAAGGGTTCTCAGGGGTTTAGCGTTTTTTTTTTTTGGGTTTAGGCCTTAGGGGTTTAGGTTTTTTGGGGTTTAGGGGTTTAGATTTAAGGGGTTTTAGTGGTTTAGGGGCTTTAGGGGTGTAGGTTTAGGGTGTTAGGGTTTCAGGGTTTCGGGTTTAGGGTTTAAGGTTGAGGGTTTCGGGGTTTCGGGTTTTAGCGGTTTAAGCGGTGTAGGGGTTTTAGGTTTTTAGGGTTTAGGGGTTTAGGGCTTAGGAGTTTAGGGGTTTAGGGTTCAATCAGGGGTTGAGGGTTTGAGGTTTAGGGCTTTAGGGGTCTAGGTGTGTAGGGTTTTTTGGGGGCTTTAGGGGGTTTAGGATTTAGGATTTAAGGCGTTTAGAGGTTACGGGGTTTAGGGGGTTTAGGGGTTTAGGGTTTTAGGGTTGTAGGGTTTCAGTGTTTTAGGGTTTAGGGTTTAGGGTTTGGGGGTTTAGGGTTTTAGGGTTTAGATGTAGGGGGTTTAGATCTAAGGGTTTTTAGGGGGTTTAGGGGTTCCGGGTTTTGGGGGGTTTAGGGGTTTAGAGATTAAGGGTTTAGGGGTCTAGGGGCTTAGGGTTGCAGGGGGATTGGTGTTTAGGGTGTTAGGGTTTTTGCGTTTTAGGGTTCAGGGTCTAGGGTTTGGGGGTTTAGGGTTCTAGGGGTTCAAGGTTTTAAGAAGTTGAGAGGGGTCTAGGGTTTTAGGGTTTAGGTGTTTAGGCTTAGGGGTTTAGGGTTTACGGCTATAAGGGTTTATTTAGGGTTTCGGGTTTAGGGGTGTAGGGTTTGCGGGTTTAGGGGTTTAGGGGTTTAGGGGTTTAGGGGTTTAGGGTTTAGGGCTCTAGGCAGGGGTTTAGGGATTTAGAGGCTTAGGGTTATTTGGAGGGCTGCGGGTTTTTGGGTTTTGGGGTTTATGGCTTCAGGGTTTAGGGGGTTTAGGGGCTTTGGGTTTAAGGTTTAGGGTTAAGGGTTTAGGGGTTTAAGGGTTAAGCGGTTAGGGGTTAAGGGGTGCAGGGTTTTAGGGTGCAGGGATCCCTAGATTCTACTTGTGTTCTAAGAATTGCCAAAAAAAACCTACATTTTTCACAAATGGCATTGAGAACGCACAATAAGGAACACTACAAAGGTAGGTTCTTTCGGCTACAGGCAAGTCCTAAACCTTAAGCCGCTAAACCCTAAACCCTAAACGCTTTTCCGGAAGTACCATTGCTTTTTCTTCTCCTCGTACTAGAAGTTAACTCTACGATTCTGTGTTTTCAGCATACAGGCTTTCGGGCGCGAAATAACTCAATGTAAGCTGCCATAGCAAGCTAACTATAAAACTGTGCAGAAGGGCTTCATTCGGATGTTCTAAGGGATGTAGAGGTTTATGGAACTGGTGGAAGTTACCATACCGATACGGAAAGCACATTCTTTTGATGGGCTCTTGTTTCGTAACGAGTCTTGCCAGTTTTTTATGGAGTCAGGGCGCTCGTTTTGAGTTGACATACGGAGGAATCCATGAGATCGTTTGTGAGGGCTTTGTAAGGGTGTTATCAAGGATCAGAGGGTGCTAGCTGATTTAATGTAGTTATCATGCCAAGGATATTTTATCAGAGCCGTAACAAGTACGAGAAGCTTTGCACTAGAGTATCAGAGTAACAGGCTACGCTTCAAAATGCCTACTGCTCCATTACGTACTGGTCGCTCGACTTTATTATAGTATCTTTTTATAGTATCCTAAGATTAAGCTGAGCCCTGTTCCCTTACAGAGCCTGGCGGTTTCCGAAATAGGGGACCCTAATATGGTACCCCCTTATTTTCGGAAACTCCCGCCTCAAGCTGAGCTGTTAAGCTCCTCAACCCGAGGTTCGACACGCCGGACGACGCCAAGCGCGTCTTCCGCTTCGACGACTTGGCGACAGATGTCCACGATGCTGCTTCGCTCAGATAAGGCTTCTGTAGGTATACAGATAGGTCTGTATGTATATAGATATGTGTGTGTATATATATATATATATGTGTGTATGTGTATATATGTGTGTATATATATATACACAGACATACATACATACATACATACATACATACATACATACATACATACATACATACATACACGTACACTCACACACACATACATGTAAGCCATGTAAGTCTCAATGTAAGCATTGATTTCGTTATGTGTGTATTTATGTTGTTGGCAAGGGTTTTGGAGGGGCTCCTTCGTATGCATGATCGTATGCGCTACTGCATGGGTTTAGGATTTGAGGCTTAGGGGGTGAGCTACCCTAGACCCTCAGCTCCCGAAACCCTAAACCCTAAACCTTCAGCTTTTGAGTGCTTAGAAGACCCAGGGCCGGAAGCTTGGAAGAAGATCTCACCCAGAAGAGTGGTACAGGCAAGGAGCCCTGAAAGACGGAACCTGCATCTTTGTGAAATCAGGGCCATCCGAGCCGCAAGCCTTGCAAATGGCACCATGTCCTGAACCCAAAACGCCTGAACCCTGAACCTTCAACGCCCTAGTCCCCTAAGTTCTTAAACCCCAAACCCCTAAACCCTGAACCTAAACACCCTAACCCCCTAAGGTCTTAAACCTCCAAAGCACCTAAACTAAACCCCGAACCCTAAATTACTAAATGCCCTAATCCCCTAAGTTCTTAAACCCCCGCAAACCCTAAACCCTAAACCCTAAACCCTAAACCCTAAACCCTAAACCCTAAACCCCTAAACCCCCGAAGCGTTCTTTTCAGGACTACTCGCTGGGTTTCTGTGAGTGCGCCTCGGGAGCTCACGGGGACCTCTTCCCGGTGGACTCGCAGGTCTTCGAGGCCAGGCTTTTAGGGTTTTTAGGGTTAAGGTTTAGGTGTTTAAGGTTTAGGGTTTTTAGGGCTTTTAGGGCTTTCATGGTTTAAGGTTTAGGTGTTTAAGGTTTAGCGTTTTGGGCTTTTAGGGTTTTTAGGGTTTTTAGGGTTTTAGGGTTTAGGGTTTTAAGGGTTTAGGGTTGTTTTGGGGTTTTAGGGTTTAGGACGCTCGGGCTTAGGGCGCCTTTGTTCCAAGATTTTCAGCTCGAAAACGGGTTCACACAGGACTTTGATTTCAGAGTTTTTGTGGGAGGGTTTTGCTGCTCGCGGCCTCGCGCAGAAAATTCGCGTATCGATCCCCTGAACTCCATGCCCTTCTGAAATCCCTAAAACTACCCATTTTGTATTAGATATCAATAAAACTATGAGAGTATTCCATATATTTGTTATACTTATGTCATATATAACAATAAGCCGTAGGCTGGTGACCAGCTTGAGAGGCCGTGCCACCTGGCTCTGGCAATTCTTTCGTGCCGCCTCCGCAACTCCTGATTCACGGGGCGGTGACCTGTGAAGTGACAGCACTTCACAGCTCCCACCCGGATGTGGCGGCCGCGGATTGCGAGATACTTGCCAGGACTCTTGGACTCAAACCCTAAACCCTAAAACCCTAAACCCTAAACCCTAAAACCCTAAAGCCCTCAAAACCCTAAACCCTAGACCCTAAAGCGTCACTTTTGTTTTGAATGCCTCACGGTCTAGTCACGCGTCAAGCTGGGGTTTGGGGTCTATAGGGTTTAGGGCTTAGGGCTTGAGGCCGACATAATTACCCAGAGTATTCATAGGGTTCCTTCCTATTAACTATGCTGTAACCACGTAGCCCAACACCCTAGTCTAAGCTCTAAGGCCCCTATATTCGAGCGCCTTTGTAGCCTTGGCCTCGCCTCAACCCTAAACCCTAAACCCTAAACCCTAAACCCTAAACCCTAAACCCTAAACCCTAAAGTCTCTAACAACGAAAAAGTCCTGAATCAAAAAACCCTCCAGGCCAGCAGCCTGAGCCCGCTGGACCCTTCAACAAAAGATCCCCAAGCCCTGAAAACAACCAGCATGTACCGCGTGTTTTCTTCAGGGTTCCTGACTTCTACTTTCTGGTTTAATGGTATCCCAAAACCCTAAACCCCTATAAGCCCTAAGCCCTAAACCCTAAACCCCTAGACCCCTAAAGCCCTAAAAACCCGTAACTCCTAAACCCTAAACCCTAAATCCAAAACCCTAAACCCCTA